ATAATAATAATAATAGCAATAATAATAGTAATAACACTAACATTTAAGAAGTTTCTTTTTCTATTGCCTTTTTGACTGCTACACAAAGCCCTGGGCTGACTTGCTTTGTAGACTGAAACTTTAAATTCATTTTAAAAACTTTGGAAGTTCGGTTTTAAGACCGATTTACCAACACTAAACATCACCAGCGGTGAAGTTTCTGAAGGTTTCTCATTATCCACCTGTTTTTGCTCCCTCCCACAGCTCTGCTGGAGCACAGGCCATGCTGAGGACTCTCAGTGCTGGAATTGGGCAGGAAATCCTGGATTTGAAGAGTTCCCCTGGTTTATAGTGATCCCTTAGGATTTTTAGCTTCTCTATTTTTGTATATTTTGGATTTTTAGCTTCTCTATTTTTGTATTTCTCCAGTACAGCACTAAAAACAATCGTTCTCCCATCTTTAGACAAAACAATTCCTCTCTGAGCCTGAATCCAAGGACATTTCACTGCCTCAGAGCCCCAAAATATGGAAACAACAGAGAATTGGGGGGAGCGAGTTTGGGGTGGGTGAACTGGGGTCTGATTAATGAATCAGAACTGGTATGGTCCATTTTGGGTGCAGCCTCAGGAGGATTTATATGCCCTAAATTAAATTTATCTGCTTTTATTCTCCTCACTTTGTGTGGTCTCTGTTTCAGGTGAGCCCTGTTTTAGGCATCAATACTGGTGAGGATCTGACCCCGCAATATTTGGGATTTCTGCCCATTCCCAGTGCTCCATCCCAGTCCCATCTGATCCCATTTAGAATCCCATCTCCCTGCCATTTACCTGCAGGGGAGATTGGATTCTAAATAACCTCCCTGAGGTTCTGTAAAGCTTTGTGTTCACTTTAATATGCCTGCAGGAGATGGGAGATAATCAGCTGCAATTCTGTCAAAGGCCCCTCTGATTTTATACCAAGAACAATCGCCTGTGATTTTCAAAGACACACAGATCCCTCTATTTCCAAGGGTTTCATTTCCTTTGGAAGGAAACTGGCTATTTATAGGGAGAAAAAACACTCGGAGAGTGTCCCTGGGACAATAGGGGCTGCAGAGAAAATTACAGCAGTGCCCAGCCCAGGGGGAGATTAAAATCAGCTTCACTTCCAACTCTCAGGGCTCCCAGGAAAAAGATGGAAGCTTTAGCAGATCCATTTGTAGCAGAGATTTTCCCTGGATTTCACAATTTGATGGATAATTAATATGTCCAGATCTTTTAATGAGGAAAATTTCCATCATTTGCATCTCTAAACAAAACCATTTGTTCTAATCAAGTCTGATATTTCACGTAATTTTCCTTCCAAGATTTAAAAAAATACTTTTGAGTAAATCAATTAAACCTCACCCACAAATCCTTATGAAAATACACTTTTAAAATCTACATGGAAACCCAGAGACAAAGAAATTCCCAGGGTAATGCTGGAAAGTCGTGGCAAAAGTGAAGTGGCAAAGGAAGATTTCCACCCAGTTCCTGCAGAATTGCTTCATTGGTATTTATGTAATTATTTGAAAATATAATAACTCTATTTTATAATATTATAGTATTATAATATTATAGTATTGTGATAGTTTAATAGTATAATATGTTATTATAAAATTATATATATAATAAATAAATCTAAAATAAATTTTAGAATAAAAGTATTTTTAAATTAAGTTTTTTTAAATTTAATTTGAATTTCAAGTGATCCTGGCAGTGCCCTGTGAGACACAGAATTCAAGTGAAGGTGTTTTTTTCTGAGCACACATAAAAATCCTCAGGCTGGGGGTGTCAGGCTCCAAAAATGTCAATATTTAATATTTAGAACTTTCCCTGACAGCCCTGAAAGGGGCTGAAAGGACACACATGGCAAGGGCTCAGCTCCCAAACGCCTGAGAATTTCCAGTTCCACGTGAAAACAAATCAATAAACGAGATTTTCTTGTGGAACTCACACCAGAACCACCTCTGAGTGTAAATCACACACTGAATAAACAAACACTGSGAAAAGATGGATCCTAAATTCTCTRTACAACCATCAAAGTGCATTAATTTGCAACGATTGACCAAATCCTACAGGGAATTTTTTCTCAAATCACTCTAATTTATTTTTATTTTCCCTAAGCCTCCAATGTTTATTTTCTGGGAAGCTGAGGTGATGATTTAAGGCAGGTTTTTGATTTCCAAATCCCACGTGCTGGGGGAAGGAAGGAGCAGGAAAAAGTGAGCACATACTACTTGTACTTGTCCATCCTCTCCGATCTGGTGGATCTGAACCTGCTGGGCGTTGGCCAGGGCGTAGTGCAGGGCTTGGGGTTGGTTCTGCTGCAGCTCACCCGAGGCTGACACCGAGCTCTGTGATCCCTCTGCAAGAAAAAAAACCCAAATTTGCCTTTATTTCATGGGCATGTGCCAAAGCGTTCACAAATGTGAGGAAAATGAAGGTGATCAGGGATGCACATTGTTCATATTTTTCATATTCCTGTCCCTAATGGACACTTGGTCCAGGAATTACAAAGGCTGGCAGAGCTCATGTT